TTTCGTGATCTGTGATCACTTCTTTTCCAATTCAAGTCTATGGGAGCCAGGGCTTTTTGGAGCCAGCAGCTAGTGGACGCAGGTTTTTGACACCTCCGGGTTGGCTTCATTTTTCAGGGCCGGTTGCTACATCCATCTTTTATACAGTCTATGGTAAAAACTGATGTTTCTTCTCTTCAAAGTAGCCGCAGACCCCCCTCCCATCACTAGTGATTAACCTTCACGTGAAGGCTGGATAACTGTGGCTGCTACAGATGTGATGTTTGCTTTTAACTCCAGTTTGTGATTCATGGAGAAATTCCAAAAGGGGCACAATGCTCACAACAACATGATGATATCATTACCAAGACCAGTCTCTAAAACTTTTGATCACACTTTGCATAGACAAATATCCTTCCACTTTTTATTTTATGATATGTGTTCATCACCAGCAGGAATTGCAACATCTGCAGGGTTTGTTTCCTTCTGCAAAAAGTAACCGATGTTCCCTTAAAGCTGCCCCGGCTTGTAACAGACGTGAAGAACAAAGTCGTATTTTTCACAACAGACAGGAAGAAGCATAGATCCAACAGTCTTGTTAATAGATAAAAATGATGCAAAATACTCAAGTAATAACACTCATTTGCTTTGATGTTGAAGCTGGAAAAGTGTATTTTAGTCTTAATCCACTGAAAATACCTTAAATCTAGCAGACAGAACACGGTGTCCAATCCTCAGGGACATACATATTCTATCCACTTCACACAGTCTGCTGGTAATTGGTGTCGGTGATTAGAGGAGGCTTGGGTTCTCTCCTCTCGGATTTCTCAGCCGGGGAAGTGTGGGGTGGACTTCTCCCCGTTGCAGCTGATACGAAGATGTAGCCCAGCTGGAAGACAGTAAACACTGTTAGTATTGACTCACGCTGCGAAAGCCCACCACTCCGCTCGGCACTTCATAAAGGGAATCAATCAAAAACTAATTAGGATGAAAGACACTCCGGCCTAAATCTTCTGCAAACTGCAAAGACTTTGTTGCGCCTCATCTTCATGTGCAACAAGTTCATTTTTAAAATCTTTTTCATAAACCTTAGTTAATTTGTCATTGAAAGATGGACTCATCCAGTCTTTTTTCACAGAAATCCTGTCTAAGAAAGTCATGTTGCATTTGTGATGCTTTATTCAAGCTTCACACTAAACCTCGTAATTACAGTTACTGTTTGAAAACAAATGATTTAATAAAAATCCCCCTCTTCTTGTTGTATTATGCCAAAGCTGAAAATGTGAAACAGTTGAAATTGAATGCTTTGTGAAAGAGAAGAGGAGCAAACCTGCACCAAGTTTTAATGATTTGATTCTATAGTTAATGCAACATGAGTTATATGTGTTTTTATCCATGCATTTATTGAAAATAAATATTTTCTGTCTTTCTCCAGAACAGTGCCACAACAAGGCAGCATTCAAATATGTGACTACGATTCTATGTTACATTTCTGCACATTCAAGTAAATGTCCCGTTTTCCAACTGCCTTGTGTGCTGTAAAATGTCTCGATCATGCCTTTAGCTTGGAATACTGTAAGCTTTAGGTGTTAATCTGACATAATTATTCCTCTATATTGTAGTATCGGGAGATTTCCATGAGTACCCACCAGTTTTTGTGGCACGCATGCTGCTTTTGTCCACAGTCTGATGTGAATGTCCAGGGTTCGGCTTCATCACGCTGCTGTAAATCTTTTCATTTCTTTTAGCCGCAACAGGCCTACAGCCCTGACTTGAATGAGAAATCAGCTGTGCTATTTGTCTGGCCATGGCTGTTTTTTCCGGAACCGGCGGTGGTGTTTTGCGTGGCCGAGCTGTCGCCTTGTCTTTCTCTTGAGCCCCGTCTCTGAAGATGTCGTCGTCAGAAAGGGTGATGTGGCGGAGATGCACAGCACAGAGCTCCTCCAACGTCACCGTAGGCCTCGGGTTTCCCAGAGATGTGACAAAGGCAGAGGAGTCGGAGTGATGGCGACGGAAAGGTTTGGGTTTGAGGGCAGGTTTGGTTGACGGCTCTGGTTTGGGAGTGTTAGGAGGCGAGACGACGGGGAGGGGAAGCTGCAGAGACAGCCTGTTGGTGCGAAGACGAGAGGAGCTGGGGCTGGACTTGGGTTGCAACTTCCAACCTCGAGGGTCGTGACCGGTGATGACAGATGTCTGGGTAGGAGGAGGCGAGGAGCAGGATGAGGTGGTGGATGAGGAGCAGGAGGAGGAGGAGGAGGAAGAGCGACCAGGTGAGGTAAAGGTCCCAATAGGAGGGCAGGAGTAGCGTTTCTCGGGAGTATGGGATGCTGTGTGGGGTCGGAGAAGGGAGAGGCAACGCTCAGGAGGCTTTGGTCGCTTCTTCTTCTTCTTTAAAACAACACCATTGGGGATCCCACATGTGCAGAAGTCGGCCGACCACCGGCGCTGATGAGAGGGAGGGATCACGTCGAAGGTGGAGCATGTTGACAGGGGACGCTGTGGTCCTTGTCTGTCCTTGTTCTGTGCTCTGAGGCTCACATTGTTAGCATCAGGCCCCTTTTCACTCATCTGGGCATCCTTAGCGTAACAAAAAATAGAAGGGGCTGCTGTGCCATTAACAGCAAGGGTGTTGTTACTCATCTCGCTTGGTCGGGTGAGTCCTCGATGTGTATATAACCCTGAGGAGAGAGAGAAAGGAGGGAGGGTTTCAGGATGCTTCAATTTCAAAAAGAGGAAGAGCAGACGCCCAGCTGAAAATGAAGTTTCACATATTTCCCAACTGCTAGATTTTCACAACAGAGATTCTGGCTGTCAACACTCATAAGTTGTGTGGATTGAGTGAAAAATACTGGTTTTATTATCAAAAGGCAAATAGAGCGTTTATATATTTAGCTCAGTTAGATGTTAGACTTGGGTTTTTGCTCAAAGTGTAAAGTCAAAGTGACTCACTAATGTCCTTTGGGAGTGATCTGAGTTTTATTGCTGATAAATTTTACATTTAGGAGTGTGCCCCTTTTGCCGCTGCTTTAAAATATATAAATAAAGTAGCTGATCTGGATAAACTACTACTTTGCACACATCAGTAAACATGTTGAATAAATAACAGCAAATTCTCTTAAAACAGCCTGAAGTATTTCTTAAAAACTTGAGAACTTCTGATTAAAGTAAAACCCCCGAAACCTTGAAACTTAACTTCAACTTGTTTGCAATGTTGCTTTTATTCAATGTGAAATATAAAATATATTGTTTACCTGCAGCTCTGTGCTGATCTCAGTTGTCTCTCACTCTGGACTAATCTCTTTCACACATCTCTCTTTTAATGCTACTCTCTCTGAGCAACCCACCCAAATCTGACCACAACTTCCCCAAATTAACGCCCAGAAACCCACAGATTCCCCATTTCACACACGTGTGCACACATGAGTCTTGATAGACTCGATTGGCAGCTGTTTCATAATGGCATGAAGTAAGAGCAGAGTGTGAGAGTAAACAGTTGTTCAAGAGAAACACTTTTCACACAGCTTCAAAGCACTTAGAATATACATTTACACCACTATGAGCTCGGTGAAGCTGCTATTATTTTGCTATTTTCAGTAATAACCTGCAGCTTTTTACTCAAAGGATTCACCCGACAATGACTTTCCCGAGCTCTGAGTGCTCAAAATGAAACTTTATCTGTCAAGTCTTGGTAGAGTAGTGTATCTCATCATTTTCTATGTTTGATCGGGTGTAGTGTTGATGCTTTGCATTTTGAACGCCTCTTGTACACGATGAATCACATTGAGTGCTCCCTATTCATGGATAAACAGTCTCAGCAATTATAGGCATTTGTTTTCAAGCATGTCATAACCGCTCACTGCTTCAGCAACTCGGCTCCAGCTGCAGGCGAGAACATTTTGAGCCACGCCAGCAGTTCAGCTCTGGGGATGGTAATGATTGAGTTGGTCCATTTCTTCGGTCCAGGCTGAAAAATGGGTTAGATTGGAACAAAATTTGGTACAAACATTACCTGACTCTTTCTCTACTGCCATCATAATTTCAACGTTCATGATTATGGGTAAAATGTCTTTAACTGTTGGATGGATTGCCATGAAATGTGTTACATTCATGTCCCTCTCAGGATGAACTGTAACAACTTTGGTGATAAAACAACTGGCATTCCCATCAGCCTCAGCTGCTTTGTGTTTATTGGCATCATTAGCATGCTAAAGTAGCAAACAATCAATCAATCAGACTTTGTTTTTACAGCACTTTACATAGAAATAGAATGTAACACAAAGAGCTTCACAGACAAGAAGGCTTTAGAGAGAAACAGTTGCTCTCTGACACTGTTCTTTGAATGGTAAATGCATTCTTAGTTATGTCTTTGATGTCAGGGTTAAAACTGAGATGTGAGTCAAAGATGAGGTTTCTGTTTTCATGAGATGGTTTAATGTAAGGGCTTGCGGTTACACAATAATTTTCTCTCTCAGTTTCACTACCGACCACCACCATTTGTCCTAAAGTAGCTGGAGATAATTGTCTGCTATCTATAACTTCACATCTAAAATGCGGTTTAAAATGGCCTGCAAGCCATCGTGAAAGCTTTTGCTCAGCGACTCACAAACTTCAGCAACTATAACTAGTTCACATATACCAGGTAATGTCACATGCCCTCAAAGACTCTGGGGGACAGCGCTGCCTGATGGCTTGCAGGTGACATAACTACTGAGGTACAGAGCAGCAGAGCGGTAGGAAGCTGGAGTGAACGAGCCTGTGAGCCTGAACTCAGGGCAAAGAAACCCTGAAGTTGCAGATATGAATTTCTCATGACAGAGGTGCAGCAAAAGTCATGTGTAAAAAGACAATTGTTAGGCCCACTTGACTTTTATCTGGTTCATATTTCCAGCATTTGTAGCCAAATACTTCTACTTTTCATCAATTAATATCTTTGTACACATTGACAAATCTTTTTACGTATTGACAAATGTCACTATGGACACACAGATTGAGATACAGACACACAACTCTCCATACTCATTTACAAATAGTATTTTGCTACATTAATAACCCCATACAGGGCAATATACAGCTGTGTGTCATCAGCGTACCTATGGAAACGGATGCTGTGCCTCCTAAGGATGTTTCCAAGTACAGAGTTGTCAGTTTGGCTGTAATGACCTGTCACTGGGCAGGTAGCCTGCAAGTAGAACCGGACTGCATTTTTATGTTAGAAAATGTTTAAGGTCAAAGGGGCTATTTCATTGTCAAAGATTAAAGCATAACCATGATAAATACTTTGAAAATATCTTACTCCAATTACTCCAAGAGGCGGTACCTACCCAACGCTTAGACTGCACCAGCTCTTATTTGAAGGTTTTTTTCTGCAAAAACATAGGTCATTAGAATAATTTGGAGGAGAGGGGAAGTAGGTGCTTCATTATTTAAGAAATGGTTGTCGTTTGCGATGTTGTAACTCAATTTTATAGTTTACAGTTCATTTGTGTTCACTAGATGTAAAAATGAATAATAACTTTGTCATTAAAAAGGTGAAATCCTTTTACAGCCAACTCTGGTGACAATATTTTTAGTAAATGAGCATGAGCAAGGTTCATTTTCTGGAGCATTTTGAGATATAGTGGCACTGACACTTTTTTCTTATCTATTTAGAAGAGACCCGCAAGGTTCAAGAAGCTGTATGCAAATGAGAACGTGACATTATCTGGTGACTTCTAGTGACCGCTGCAAATAGTTTAGAATTGGTGAGATAGAGCTTTTTTTTTTACCCTTGGTGTGACTTTCAGCAGTCTTTCTTGCCACTCCTATCCTTGCACAGCACTTTGTCGAAAGGTCTGACTGCACTTATTACCATTCTGCTATTAGGCAACAATAAGATGTAGTGCACCTTGCAAATAGTGTTAGAAGTGAAGCTTTTTTTTCCCAAATATTGTTGGGCAGACATGCTAGAATGTTCCTGTCAGACAGCAAGCGGTGTGAACATATTCTTTGCGCATCTTTACAACCGTTCACTGAAATAACCAAGCAGGTCTGCCTCATTCCACAATCCAAATCTTTGTCAAAACTGGCGAGAGTATAGGTGGCGCGGAAGTTGTTGATGTTTCAAATAGCAAGAGGGGCTTTAGGAGTGGAAACGCAGTGGCAGGCTTATACCCACAGTCTACATCTGGTGAGTCACATAAGGCTTCCACTGACATCTTTTCTTCACTTAAAATACGCGCCCAGCAAAGCGATCCCATTATTCAGCAGTAGCCCCTTTATAAACCCCCAGCCACGAGAATCAGGCTTTGTGCCAGATCCAGTGATTTCAGACACGGTGTCAAACTGAGCGCTGTACCAAGGCTGTAAATCTGACTGCGTGTCACAAGCTATCACATGCAGACCAACCTATACACGTGTCCCCCCCAACACTCCCACGTTCCGTATGAACTCCGATGCTCAGTTTTGACAGCGAGTCCTTTGAAGTTTGATCACTTTCAGCTTTCAGAAGCTGTGTTGTTCCTTTCCTCACTTCCCCGTAATCCACCCACAGGCCGCCGAGATCTTTCAAGGCTGTGTGAGTAATTGGCAGGTTCGCATGATGTTGGGAGTCGGAGCTGCTAGGTGAGGGCTCAGTACATTAATCTCAGAGTAATGAAGTGATGTAAACCTCACAGGATACTGTAAACCTGCAGACGAGGGGAGGGATTACCGCTGCTCAGAGTGTCTGATGATGCACGCACAGAGAGAGACGGAGGGATTGTGTGAGTACTGTACGGTATTTGTATATATGAGACAAACCTGACCTTTCTTACTCAGCGTTTCGTCCAATAGCAATAAAATGTATCCGCCGCCGCCGCTCCCTGCTTGTAAGAAGAAGTCAATATGTGCTTATTGATGCTTGAAATGTTAACAGTAGCTCTCTGCTCAGTTGGTCGTCTCTACTTATGCTATTTTTTGGGTTATATTTCTTCTGTATACCACATCACTGGTAACACTCTTGCTGGGAGCTTTTCAGTTCAGTTTAGTCTATTAGAAAATTGCTGCAAAAACTTTTTTCTGCAGCCTAGAAATTCACACAATCGAAATAGGACAGCGGTGTATTTGAAACTGAAGGGGACTGTAAACAATATGAGGTTTAATAGTGTAAAAAACAACATTCAGATATCAGGAGGGGAAAGTGTCTAAAAGTCTTTGTTTTGAAGTTGACAGAGAGATTTGTTCACAATATCTGAGCACAGGACCCGGCTCAGCCGAGGTGTACAGTGGAGCTCTGCAGAAAAATGAGAGATTTGAAGCCTGATCCCCTTCAGGTTTTTGCTGGCGAAATGATTAAAGAAACCCTTCAGATTGTTCGAGGAAAGCTTCAGAGAGATGAGCATGACAGTTAGTCGCACACTGGCAGGGTTTGGAGGGCTTCTTGGAAGTAAAAGTGTCAGAAGTTTTTCTTGTTTTGTGAGCTGTTTGGTAGAGAGCGTTGTGACTTACTGAAAAATTGGTTGCACTTAACCTTATTGATCCATCTCCAGCTCTCTGTTGAGCTCTGCTGGAAACACATCAGACCTTTTGAGGAGGTTGGCAATGGAGATGGTTCTTTAGTCGTCCAGTACAAACAATGAAAATATTGCTAGAACTTCTTTTTAACAATACCGATGGAATACCAAGTGTTTCGATTGTTGTTTTTTTCTGACAGCATTGAAAACAGAACAGTCACTATCTACTGCTTTATAATAATGACAAAGTAAAAACATCTTGTAAAGACATTATGTTGTGCACTTTTTAACAGGTTTATCGTGATATTTTTGGAGCTCTACCTAATTATGTTGACATGACTTAACGTTTAAAAAACACTCATTATTTTTCTCACACTGTACATTTCTGCAGGTCACACTATTTCTGAACAGCTCCTGTCTCTTACATGCACCAAAAAGTGAAATCACACTTGAACATACTCTCTGTAAGAATGTATTAGAAATCATGAACTGAAATGTGTACTTGTTGGACTACAGCAAGACTAGATTACCAACTGGAAAAAATAGGAACCTTCCCATGGACCTCACACCCTGAGGGGCCCCTGAAGCCACAGGTTCATCCGTCTCCACTGGTTTTGCCCATTTAATTAAAGAGCCTAACCATATTCCTGCATTGTCAGCTAATTACCTGGCCCTATCTTGTCAGGTGTCTGAGTCTAGTTTGAAGATGTTTATTAATTCAGTTTATATTGTCCTCGTGAGGAGATTCTCAATATCAAATTATCACAAGCTAAGCCATTAGCACAGGAGGTCGGATTGGAAATCTTAATGGGAACTTGGAGGCAGCAAGGGGATGATGAGGGCTCAATAGCAAATTTTTACCCCTAACATAGCTTAAATATGGCCATGAGTCACGGTCATTATTCCTGAAAACTACAAGATTCTTGTCGCAAAAATGTTGGTGCTTGAAGAAAAGAAAAAATAAAGTGCCAGTACACCTCTTGTTCCCATGTTGGTGTGTGTATCAGCAGATCATTAAGCAGCCTACGAATTTCTCCAGTGAAGAAAAGATGCCAGGATATACTGCTGATGTTCACAGCATGACCTTAATTAATCGAAGGGGTGACCATTTTAATTATGAAAATAAAAATGATTGACTATGTGCAGCAGCTTTAGTGTGTTGTGCAATGAAGTCATCAGGTTGGGATGTCCCTTGTGTTCTCAGCCGTGACCTCCTAGAGAACTAATACAATCCTCGATACCTGAGAATAAGAACAGAATGAAGTATGAGCAAACACTATTTACTGAGGAGAATGCTTTCTGTAGAATATTAAAGAAAAGTGACTGTTAACAGTTAAACACATAAGAAACTGTAGGAAATATAAAATGTAGAAAAATTAAGTTATGACACTGAGCTTTGGCTGAAGAGTTAAACCTACTTGAGAGACTATAGGTAATCATTTTGTTGTTTGAAACGTTTGTTAACGTTGCGGGACCAGATCCAACAGCTTTGACTGCGATGTTAACTGCAAATGTGGTAAATCAAATATTAGTTTCTAGACATAGCTCCGGTTCTATTACAGCGTAGGAAATATAGCAATGGAGGGTTTGTTTTTTTTAACTTTTGTCTATTTTTGATGGTGATGTTTGAGAAACGAAGACTGTTCAAAGAGGACACGGAGAGGGAAGAACAAATAGTACTTGTCCTCTCCAAATTTAACCAATCTGCATGTCTTTTCTGTATCTACCCTGGAGTAGGTACAGTCATCCTCGAATGTATTCATACCCTCCCATTAAAGAAGGAAAAAAACAGGTGTCACTGAAACAAGTTGAAATTGACAAAAGTAGTAATAAATAAAAATTTAATGAAAATTACGACATTGCTTTTGAATTGTGGTTCAACAGAAATATTTTACAAAAAAAAGCAAACAAGCACGATGGGACTCGTAAACTAATATTTTGTTGAACAACCCTTTGAGCCAATCACTGCAATCAAGTGTTTTCTGTAACTCTCAATCAGACTTCTGCACCTGTTGACAGCTATTTTGATTTTGGCCACTGCTCATCAGCAAAGTGCTCTTATTTGTCCGGGACAGTTTTGTTTTTTGTTTTTTTAATTATTCTTTTCAACCACAATTCAAAAGCACTATTGTGATTTTTGCCTTTTCTTAAATGGAAAGGTATAAATACATTTGAGGACGACTGTCCTTTTTCTCCCTTGAAAATGAACCTGAAATAGGTTCTACGGAGGTGGCTCTAGAAATCAGAACACAATTTAATGTTTGGGCCATTCTAAGACAAGATCCTTCAGTGGAAACAGCCTGTTGTCTGCACTGGTCGCCACAGAGGTCGTTTCAGTGTCAGTTTGTGCACCTGCTCATGACTCATGCCTGCTGCAGTGTTGAAACATCGCTGCCTCTTAGCGCTAATCAAGCATATTAAATAGTTGTTTTTTTTCTTTTCACTTTCACGTAGTCATAGGTACACTAAGGTCTACAATGTAGAAGTACAGCATACCAGTGAGTGCTGGCCAACTTTGGAGTTTATCAAGTGCCACCAAGAGAGAGTCTTCTGGGATGCTTAATGCCTACCAGTTAGGAGTGTTGTTTTGTTGGCGAGCTGAAGTCGCTATCACTGTGGTTCATTGAAAGCGCCACTGAAGCTGCTCCAACGACTTATGTCATGTGTCAGTGTTCAAAGCGGGTACATCAGGACCCAGAATGATTTGGTTCATTTTATGTCATTGATTCATGGACTGACGCTTCAGATTATCAGTTAAAAATTGCTCAAAATTTGCATTCCTTCTTGTATCATTGCATATTAACATAGCTGTCTGCTTTCGATGTTTGATGAACGTTCATAAACACCAGCACCACTTGCCAAGCGCTCTGTTGCTCTTTGCTGTCATTTATTTGGAGCTCTGTAGATTTCTGAATGTCATGTGTGGGCAGGTCTAGTCCCCTGATTTGGACTCATCGCCAGTAAGAATATCGCTCTGCCTGCTTCTCATTTGCGTCACCAGCCCAGTTCTCTTTGCTGTTTTCAACAATGGCTTAATAATCTGACATAACTCACACAGTACATTGATAAAGCATCGCTGTTGACAAGCTGCTCTTTGTGGTCCGTGTGAAAAACCAACACGTGTTGGAAAAGCAAACAGAATTTCATTTTCTAGCAAAGAAGGTTTTGTAACCTTGGTCTTGAGAAAGGATGATCCCTTTTAGCAGCGTTATTTGTGGACATTTTAGTGAAGGACATCTGTTTCTAGCATCCTACATGCCTCCACAGTACTAATGAAATGTCCGTTCTCCTCTTAAGCGACAACAGCAGCCTTCCTGCTCTCATCTCTCAAACAGAAGCGATGTTTTGACACAACCTTGAACCGCTCTCGAGCACTTGCTTCACTGTTGCACAAGCGCTCCAGTTTTATCACACCGAACTCCATGCTTTTCTTCTCATGCTTATCCAGGCTTACTGGGAGAATCTCAGAATATCTCACCGTCCTTCACCATCTCCTGTGAACTGAAAATTAGGCAGGATGGGAAGTTAATACAAATCCTGTGATCCTCTGTGGCTCATTATTAAGTATCTTCACCATCTTAAAAATTCATTTTAATGCCACGAAAATTAGAACCATTCTGGATTTTTGAAAAATTTATAATGGTTGTTAAAATTTATTTTTTTTTTTTTAAATGATTGGATTTAGATTTAATCACACACACAAAAGCACACACCCATGTAGCGGAGAATAAGGAGCAGTAATTAGCATAACTGAAATTATTTCCATAATCATCAGGGCTAATTAGAAACATGAAAGTAGGGCAGCCACACAGCCTTCATGTAAATTACTGTAGCCTCTATTAATCATCCTCTTTTACTGTTAACACATGGTCATCATAAGAACACACAGTTGTTTTTTTTTTGTAAGGAATCGGAGCTGAAATAAATAAATCAGGAGTAGCTCTTTGTGAATTATTTTCACACCTAGCTGCTCACCTGCTCTGTTATTAATATTTGGCTGTGCTGAGGAGATGCCAACTTTAATGAATTTTACTAAATCAAATATAGAATCTTGAACTTTTTAAGAGTACTGCACTGCAGTCTAGTTATATTGTTCGATTAACTTGATGCCACAGAACCAGTGGTTTCTTCCTTCTTGTCAAAACGGGTTGCCTACATCACCCACAAAATGCAACTTGACTGCCACCAGTTTGTGAAGTTGGAGTTGAATTATACCCCTCGTGGAAAACAGACAAGAACAGACAGCAGCAGAACTAAAGTTGAACAGTTTCCAGCAGCCTTTTCTCTGGACAGCAAGTTACAGAAATTAAAATCAATCCAATGTCAACAAACTTTGAAAGACCTGCCATCACAAAAATGGAATTTTTAACCACAGTCAATGCCAAAGCTGAGTATTCCCACGATGAAGCTGAACATAGATTTACACTTCCGGGGTATTGTACGTAACAAACCTCAGGAACCAGTCTCGTGGGGCTTTCTGTATCATCATTCTTCTTCATATTTGGTTTCCGGTTCAAACATGTGTGGTTGTAGCAGTGTAACACTGCATCTTCCCATTGTGTGGTGTGGAGTAGCTTTGAGCAGAGGTGAGCTGGTGTGCTCGAACTGCAGTAAGTGGGGAGAGGTGGGTGGAGAAGGAAGTGATGGCCTCATAGAGCTGCACATTCTAAAGGAAGCAACACTGTAGAGGTATAACTGAGCCATTTTAAAGTGAAAAAAAGGCTTATTTTTATGTTAAAAATAAATAAATGTGGCTGACAGAGATGTGGTATTTAAGGGTTTAATCAATCACTAAAGAGGGACTTGGAGAAAATATCACCAGCAAATTGAAAGCACAGGGCGGCATTTAGAATATTTTTTTGGAAATGCAGAACAGCCAAATAAATGACAAGCGACAAATAGCACAGACAGGCTTTGCTAAAAGGCGACGGACGTTTCTAGAACAGTAGTTCATGAGTCAAACATCTTGGCACGCCTGCTTTGCAGTTTTGTTTTATCATAACAGACATGTACGCTGATTTTGATAAATCTGTGAGAAGCTAATATTGGCCAACAGTGTCAGGCTGGCTGATGGATAAATCAGGCTCTGAATGAAAAGGCGCCCGTCACGTTGTGCGGCATTCATTCATTCTACCTGTTTTCAACAAGCGCCACAATAATGCCACATCTACGACTGTTCCCATATACAAACAAAGACTGATGATTTTAATAGCTTTAATCAGTGCAGTGGAATATTGCAGAGTGCTTTTATTTGTTTTTGTTTGTGAATTAAATTGCATTAGCTATTTGCTTGCAGTAAAGACGGACTTGCCCGATACTAATCAGATCTGGGGAGACTGAAACTGAACTCTCTTTGCTCTCTCTCTGTCTCTTAGCTGCAACCACCATCTTGCTTTAGCTGCTCAAAGACATCACTTGTCATAGAATATCTCAAAAAGTTTGCACATAGAAGTTGGATGGAAACATGTATTGTCTCGAGTGAACAATGAGATGTGTTTCTCGGAAAAGTTGCGTGTGAGTGCTTTTCAGGCGAGCCAGGTAACAGGGAGCCAAGAGACCACTGGTCCGTAATTGGAGGGAGATGGATGGATGGAGGTGCAAAAAGAGAGAAGATGGGTGAAGAAGGGGAGGATTGGGAGGAGAAGATAAACCGGGAGCAGTGAACAGCCGATGAATCTTTCATCTTTCTTCCATTCTCCTTCCTCATGTATCCATCCATCTCCTCTGTCGGCAGTCTTTATCTCCTGTTCCGCCCCTCGATCATGTCTGTCTCCTCTGCACTCCCTCCTTTGCCTTCCTTTCCTTTTCCGTTTTGGATTTCTTCACCAATCTGTGTTCTCTTTCCATCTCCAGGCGTGGTTGACAGAGATTCACGAGTACGCCCAGCAGGACGTGGTCGTCATGCTGCTGGGCAACAAGGTGAGATCTTGTTGCCAACACTGGGAGATGGATGGACAGATGGACTCATAGAGGGTGGGATGGAAGGATCATGCAAGGAGGTATAATGGGAACCGGATGGATGGATGTGCCGAAAAACAGGGATAGAGTACTATTTTATGATTCACAGACGGGATTTTCGACTGTCACACTCTGGGGGTGTTTCAGTGGTTATATGTCTTCATGTTGGAACAGCAACAGGCGGAAGTACAAGAATTATTAAAGCACAAGTAATCAATCCTTTACATGTGTGACATGAAAGTAAATCCACAGCGAAGCTCAACCCAATCCTGCGGTCACATTCAGCTCTGTGGAAGTAAATCTTTTTAGTTGTAGCCTTCCTGTTTAGGTTTTTATGTATCTCTAGCTGCTGAACACAATAAAGTGTTGAGCTTTAAAGAGCCACAGACAACTAAATAAAAGTAATTCTGTTCTACAGCTGCTTTATGTGTAAATGGGTAACACCCTCTTCTGCAAATGATGAAATGCTGATCCATGTTTACAGCTTGTTTTTGGGTTCTTGCGTTACCAAATATTCTGTTAATGCAGGTTTAAAGATCATTTAAGATATCTTTCCTGTATTTTTTAAAAATTTGCAATTATTAAAATTACCATGTGCAAAATTAGCTAATTGTAGTGGTACATTATGCCTTTTTTAAACTGGTTTCCAGCCATCGCAAGTCCAGTTAACCAATGATATGCCTGTACTCATAAAATACAGACAGGTAACGAATGAAAGGAAAAAAACTACTTGAAGCATCTTAGTAAGTTGTTGGGCTGCCGTGTGCTGCCGGAACACAGTGTTTAGTAAAGGCCAGGAACATATGATTCACATCATTTTAGTACTTATCAAACCATTCAATGACTCCGGTGGATGGAGGCATTGTCATCAGGATAGAAAAGTTTGATTACAGTGTGAAGGTTATCACCTATCAAGTTTTGATACAGCACTTGAACTCTTCACTTGCACATTTTTAGTTCAGAGCTTTGAAGTCTCCCAGGGAGAGATAATCCTTCAGCTGTAGTCTCTTCTGAAGGTTATTCCATGACTCAGGATGCTAAATAAGAGAAGGCCGTTCTGTCAAGTTCTGAGAAAATGCTAGGCACCCTGCTATTTAGCTGTTTAGTTGAACGAAGATTGCAAAAGTTGATGGTTAGAATGGCGTATTTCTTTATAAACAAAAATAACCCTAGACTTAATAAAGGCTACGAAAAAAACAACCAAATACAATGTCTACACAGCGTAGGGTAAAGGCATATTAAAAATGCCCTCATTGTCTAAAACATTTCATAATGTAGCCTGAACAAGCATTTTCGTAACCACTAATTAGCTATTCTTGTAGTTTAATCGTAACAACTGGACTTGCTTAAGTTTCTTGAAGACGTTTCACCTCTCATTCAAGAGGCTTCATCAGTTCTGCCTCTTGGATGATAGGTGAAACGTCTTCAAGAAACTCAAGGAAGTCCAGCTGTTATGATTAAACTACGAGAATAACCATGACCTGGACGACTGAGAATCTTCACAGACGCGCTAATTAGCTTGTATAAGAAATTTGATATCTAATATTAGCAACTTAATGAGCACATTGTTTTTATAAGATGGTGGTGACCTAAAGTATCTGAAATAATAGTTAACATGAGATTGACAAGCATGAGCTGACCAGAAACGTGACTACATATTCATGCTAATCCATTACAGGAAGTTAGGGCAGGGCGAGGCGCTTAAAACACCTAAAGGAACGGACCTGTAATCTGCCGTTTCAACTTTTCTTTCTCCACTGTTGTGTAGGAACTAAAAGTTTTGACCGCAATGTTAGCGCCGACAATAAAAAAATTGTAGTTACTGGACACAAGTCTAGTTCTATAAGCACATAGCAAAATAGAGCGAAAGATGTTTGTTATGCTAGCCTATATGGGAAATGTTACATTGAAGTTAGCCATGTTTGAATGGAGAAGACTGCTACTCGACATCGAGAAAGCAGGAGAAATGCCACATTTTGCCGTCTTCAAGAAAACTAAGTTTTTAGGGTCAATAAGAAGCAAGTACACCGCAGTAGGTACTTATTCTGCCCTTGAAAAAAGCACTAAAAGAAGTTCCTGCTGTTGGAACACATTCAAAGTTTTGTACTAAAGTGACCTGCAGGTTCATGGAAAACAGCCTGATGTTACTCTGTGTTTGCTAGAAGGCACCTGTTTGCTAGCATGCTAGCTAGAGCAACAGAGGCAGCAAAATGGCTGCCGTTTTAGCTAGTTTTGGAGCTCCGCTGCCTCGCTGCTTAAAAAAATAAGCAAACAGCCTCTTTTTTTTAAATGAAAAACATATCTGGGCAAACATTTAATTTCTGTGTTGCAGATTTTAATGTCACAGATCCTCAGTTTGTATTCCTTTTCAGGGCCCAAATAGCTTTAAATGTCAAACAGGTGGTTAAACAGGAATAAATTTGTGAGAATATTGTAATTTATGATTTAAAATAGAATAATTAGAAAAGTATGTACATGTAAATGTCAGACACGGGGAAGAAAATAGCAGAGTTTCCCTCATTAGAGCACCCTCCAGATAGGACTTTGGATTCGAGCTTGACTTTCTAACTGTGCATTACTTGTTGAATGCGTTCTAGGCCGACTCCACGCATGACAGGCTGGTGAAGCGAGAGGAGGGCGAGAAACTGGCAAAGGTGAGCTTTTTATATCATGCATTTGCACGCACATATATGTACGGTACCGTTTGACACATGTAACAAGAACAAAATACGTCTTGTGCTTAACGTGCCCACGCAGCCATGTGGACGCTGCAACTGTGTGGCTGCTGTTTTCTTCATTAAGTGTGTGTAATTATGCATTCATGGAGGCACGTAATGTTATTGTTTTGATTAAATGACGGAGGGGGGGGATCTCTAACTTCATTTTCCAGGCCGTTTCGCTCAGATAAGCTCTGAGAGGCGTGTTAGAGTAAATGTAAATTGGTAAGGAGGAGCGTGGAAGAAGCACGGCAGCTGTCAAGGCAACACGCTCGGCGGGGGAATGAGATGTTCCCGCGCACACTGAATATGAGACTGCGATACCTGGGAGCCCCTCTCATCGACTGCACTCTCGCTGTTCTTCATAAATGACAACAAAATTAGTTTTGAAAGCCACCTATCACAAGTATTGTTGAAATATTGGTATTGATCAGCAACTCTCTCCATCCTCTCCAGGTACTTTAAACCCTGGCTCTATGCCTGTGAGCTCCAAATCCTGCATTAATCATAAACCTCATCTTTCTGTCAGCGTCAGGTCATTTTGTCCACACAAGAAAAGCTGCACACACTAACACCTCATAACGGTTTTCTGTGCAGGAGTTTGGTGTGCCGTTCATGGAGACGAGCGCTAAATCTGGACTGAATGTGGAGCTGGCCTTCACCGCTGTGGCCAAGTGAGTCACACACAACAGTATGAAAAGCCTGGTAGATATGCGCACTATGAGCACAATACAGCAGGAGAAAAACACAACTTTCCTTTCTTTGCTACACATAACAGTTCCTCCTCTCCAGCTTCGCCCAACGTTTCAGAAAGATTCTGCTGCGTACCCGACATCGCCGAGTCGCTACGAGAAGCATGTTTGTTGACGCTGGCTCCGTCGTTCCATTTTCCCTCGCTCCGTCAGTTTGCCCTAATGATGATGTCTTTGAAGCAAGATCTTGGAAAATGAAGGGAAATTCAATGCACCATTATGCTGTAATTGCCACTTGTCACAGTTTTTCATTAAAAGCTACGCTGCGTTTCTTTAGAAGTGAGAAAACAGGAGCTCAGAGAAAGCGGCGGAAGACGTGTTCACGCGTTTTACTTAAGTAAAAGTACAAACGCTACGGTTTTAAAAATACTCCATTACAAGCAAAAGTCCTGTAATCAGTGTGTTCCTGAAGTAAAAGTACAGATTTATTATCAGCAACATGTACTGAAATTATCTAAGTAAAAGTATTCATTCTGCTTGAGGCTGAACTAGTTTTAACAACTTCTTTTATAGCAAGATAGTTTAATCCAGATAAATCGGAGTGGGGTGACAAGTGGAAAAAGAAGAAGACAAAGTTTTAATACAAAAAATTGTCCTATATGTCTTGCAGTTTGAGTCTTTTGTAATTTGTCATGTGTTAAAATGGTGTTCTTAAAGATAAAACAATTCTAAATATCTTATCTAGCTTTAATCTCAACATGTGCCAGAACAACTGTCAAATAAATGTAGTGGAGCAGAAGTACAGAATTGCAAGAAAAAAAGGACAACCTTAAGGCTACTCTTTGTACTTTGCTTGAAAAAATGTACTTAGTTAAATACCATAACCTTTGTAAAAGTAGTAAAACATAAATAGTAAGTACTCTGAAACCACGTGCAGCTAATTTTGGTAGATTAAAGTTTGCTTCATGAATTGTACATTTGTGGACCTAGTTTGGTCCTTGCCTAACAATCAGCATTGAGCATTGGGGACCATTTCCCAAACAAATTCGATTCCAAAAATTAACTTTTGATTTTGATTTTACTTGCAATACCAAATAAACCATGTACTGCAAACACCTACTGCACTGCATTTTGACTGCTATCCAGGTGTTCCGCTACCATGCAAATTGAATGCATTCATGTCTTCTCATCGTTTATTTCATTTGCCTTCATAAATTATGAGTCTGGCGTTATTCTCGGTGAAGCTGCTCCACTGCTGCTGAGTTGCTTGATTAGCAGTTGCACAGCATCAGAATCAACTTTCTAAGTTTGTACACACAAACAAGAAATTTGAGTCTGGTGAATCTTAGCTCTCTGTATAAGGAATAAAGGAAACAAATGAGAACTATAAAAATAAGAGTAAGAGCCAAAAAAAAGCAGTATTTACAACATGTATGCAAAGAAGCAGGCTCACTGAGGTAAGTGTGGTAACGTTTAAAATAGTGCATGGGTGTGGACTATTGCACAGTGGTTCCTGAGTCTCTGAGACTAATGAGAGTTCATCAGGGTAACAGCCTGGGGGAAGAAACAGCACAAATGTATGTCTCGTAACAATCGCTTTGATTCAGCAAATGCTGCTACAAGACGCTCTATAAGGAAGAGATTTGACTCCGCTATTGAAAAGTAAACCTCGAAATATTCCAGAAGCCCGAAAAGAGACCACCGTAGCTATTGTTACGATTACTTTATCGGGCTCGGTGGTTTATTGTTGTGGTACCTCTAACCTCCAGACCTTCCAAGAATCAGAGTCGAGAATCGTTGGGAACTGGAATCGACATGCTGAATTATAATTGCTAAAATACTAAAGCTACCCAACCCTGCTAAGAATGAAAGTAGTGGAAGTCATTATTTGGCCAAGGAATGACAAGCCCTGTGGTTTACTGAATAAAAAAAAAGGTTACATTAAAGATAAAGTGCATTTTAATCAATAGACAATAAGGAGAGGGCTACAACATGTGCTGTGTCCAAGACTGCACAGTAATCAATGAATGAAACTAAAATATCTTCCTTGTTGCAATGTATATCTGCACTAAGACATCCTCAAGATGTATTACATTTAGCATGATGCTATTTGGGGTCTTTAGAAGCTGCCAATTTAGAAGCTGAGAGCAAAAAAGCCAGAGCTCTCGTCTTAAACAAGCAGTCTGGTAATGATCGGGGCGAGCAGGGTTATTAGAGTTATTTTTTGGCGTGATGTACATTTGAATTTGTTCCCTCTGGTCATGGTATAATAATAGAAAAATACAAAACTCAGGCGTTCAGACACACAGGGATCCACATTCCAAACTGAGATGTTAATATCAGATCAGTGTCTAAACCAAAAGTTTCTCTTGACAGTAACGTGAACAAAAATAACCGTAATGAGGATTTTATTTTCGACCGTGCGCTTCTCTCAAATGTCTGGTGTCGGACAGTTTGTGTGGGAGCCGTTTCACATTTATAGCCTAGTTATGGTAACAGGCTGGCACGGTGGGGTGTTGCCAAGAATAGCGTAGCACAGTCTGGTACACAATTACTCTGCAAACACACAATATAAAACCAAATCTTTTTGTGTCGTTGTGCTCCAGCTTATGTTAACATCTTTTCAGTTTTTACGTTTCCTGTTTTCTCTCGTCTCTCCAATCCTCTCCATCGCTTCTCCTCTGTGACTCATCTACCTTGTCGTGTTTTCCGCTCCGCGTTTGGGTTCATTTCACTTCGGTGGTCGCTTATTTGCACAAAACACACAGGTGGAAGTGAAAGCATTAAAAACAGGCAAAACATGACAACAAATGGTCTGTTAATACGCTAATCTATACTTTACTGACTTCTTTGACATCGAAATATTAGATGAAAAAATAGTTTTTTTTTGTGAAACATCATCCATTCCTCTCTGTTAATATTTTATTCAAAGGTCATGAAGTCACCATGGTGTTAGCCCTAATGAGCTAATTAACACTTACAGGCAGAAGCCCAGAGGCCCAAAGGGTCTGGAGGTTCTGGTCCAGAGTGTTTGTCTGAAATGATCAGTAGGATTTTTTGTTAGAAAGTCAATCAAAGAACTGCAGAGAGAGCATCACAAAGAGACAATAAAACAATCCAAACAGACTCACAACCACCATAACTGGACCACAAAAAGACACAAAGCAACTTACAGAGAGACTCAGAATGACTATAAAAAGATGTAAAATTATCACAAACAGTCCAAAACAACCAAAACTTTAGATAAAGATGCACAAACAACCACAAAGAGATTTTAAAAAATGACCCCAAAAAGACATAAATGATCACAAACACACAGGGTGACCAAAAAAAAGGTTCAAAACAACCACAGTGATACAAATCAGCCGTAAAAAAAACCCAAAGTGACTATTAAAATATGGAAAACAACTACAAAATATGCACAAAGAGATACAAACATCCACAATGAGACTCAAAACAACTACAAAATAAAATAAAATGACCACAAAGGGACATAAAGCAACTTTAGAATGACTCAAAATGACTATAAAAAGATGTAAAATTATTAAAAACAGACACAAAACCACCACAAAGTAACCGAAAACCAAATCATATACCCGCAGACCACATAGACAACCATAAAGAGATCTGAAGTAACTGTAAAAAAAAAAGCAAAACAACCACAAAGAGACTCAAAATATCTATGAAGAGGTACATAATGACTATAAAGAAATGCAAAACGACCATAAAGGGACAAAACAACCACAAAGAGACTCAAAATATCTATGAAGAGGTACATAATGACTATAAAGAAATGCAAAACGACCATAAAGGGACACAAAGAGAAACCAAAAAGCTGCAGTGAGACATAAACCCTTAAAATGCACAAAACAACAACAGAGAGCTCTGAAACTATTGTCCTGGTCTACATCCACACAAGGCAGCTGCAGCTTCAGACCACATCACGTCTGTGCTTAACAGATTGGGGCTCATGTCCTCTGACTCTCTAAAATTCGACCTCGGTGAACAATGGATTGCATTGTTTTGAGATGTCTTTATATGAAATACACAGTGAGCTCTTGAAGTGCCCCTAGGGGATAAATAAAGTTATTTGAATTGAACTGAATTGAAAACAACCACAAAAACCTGTACAATTATCACACAGAGACACAAAACAACCACACAAGGAGCTGATGGGACAAAATTGACAAAGAGTAGTTTTATCTCTTTCTCAGACCTCATCCATGACTCTAACAGTTTGTTAAAAAGTAGGAATGTTTCCATTTTCTGCCACCTAAAACTTCTACCTCACCACATTTAAGAGGGAACTACTGTACTTTTTTTGTCTTGTGCTGCATTTGCCCGACAGCTACAAGGACTAGTTGTACATTTCCTCAGAACTCCCTGAACTATTTAGTATCTTTAAAAAGATCCCCAAAGTAGCATGTAGGGACCTGAGGGAACAGAGCAATAGTCAGTATTTGGAACTTTTCCTAAATGCAGTGACAGCAGTTAAGTGAATGCACAAGAACTAAATACAAAGATGAGGATGATTTAAAGGTAATAAAACTCTTGTTATTACAGGGGGGGACACAGTTATCGCTGCAATTATTTCAAGTTGATAGCAAAGTTTAAATATTTAGTTTTTCATTGGTAGCGCTCGTCCTCTTTCCATGTCTTCCTCAGAGAACTGAAGCACAGGACCATGAAGGAACCGGATGAGCCGAAGTTCCAGCTGCAGGAGTACGTCGACAAAGAAATGAGGACCGCCGGCTGCTGCCGCTCGTAGACGACATCCGCCATGTCTGTGTCTGTGTGTTTGTGTTTGTGCAAGAGAGAGAGAGAGAGAAACAGAAAGAGAAAGAACAGGTACATCGTGTTCGACATCGTAATAAGCTGGAGTGTGTGTGCCTGGAGCTGACCCTGAAATTCTCAGTGTTTGTAATATTTCTCTGTGGTTATTTGGCCAATACGCTCTCTCTCCCAACCCACCTTTTCCTCTGCAACTGTGAATGTAATATAACTCCTGTCTACATGCTTGCACATACACATGCACGTCCACACACAAGACACCCGCACATACAGCTAGGAGTCCACTTCACGGCCTGTTCGATTCATTCTGTGCAGTTTCTCCATGAGTGATGTACATATTTTAAATGTAATTTTGATTTTGTTGCTCTGAAAGCTTTGTAGTTTGTAAATGCCTGTCTTGTTGAAACAAAACTATACGGACACAAATATGTCGATTATCAAATCAATCTTGTTGAAGTAATAGAAACACGTTTGTACAAAAACACTACTGCACCTAATGTAAGCTGTCTAATGGCACCGTGTGCTGTTAATGTACAGGATAGCGTATGATTACTGTTTTAATAATACTGAAATGTAAGCAAATCATGACTTGAGCTGTTGCCATTTTATACACAGCTCATTTTAATTTTGACTTCAAAGCTGACACATTTTAACATTAATAAATCTTCATCAGTAATTTAAGAGACAGTTTTAAATGTATAAAGCAGCATCATCAGCGTAGGACTTTAGGCCTCCATTAACTTCTGCAGATATCAGTAAGATTAAGTTACATTTTAGGAACCACTCTTCAAGGGAACGGACTTCGGAAATGTTAATCCTTTTACAAAAAGTGAAAGAAAGATACATCTAAGGCAACACAAAAAAACAGCATTATTAGGAAACTGTATTTAAATTTGGATGTAACAAATAACTTGGATATTGAGGTTAAAAGTTCTCTGGAATCAAAAAACAAACCCGAAATGAAGTCCTCTTCCTAGATTTTTCTTGGTCTCTCCACTACATTTCCTCGCCTTCATCAGCTGATTACATTTTAATGGAATTCACCTTTTGCAAATATTTAGTAGATCAAAGGGAAACCATGAGATGTAGTTGAAGAGCCTGATCTCACTTTCAACTTGTCATATACTTACGCTTTGTCAAGACCGCCTGGCATCACATTTGGACACACAGGGTACCTTTTACCGTTGTTTTTCAATGCACAGGGTAGTTATCTGAACATTAGAAACTGATGCCAAGAATCTATAGCCAAGTGTTCTCTGCTGGTGTCATCACCTTTTCAGGCATCAAGAAGTTTGCCTTGTGCTCAGTGTTGTCAGAGGGTGTGTTCGAACCCAAACCATGATCTTTTCCTAAACCAAATAGCAAGCAAGAACTAGTCGCAAACTAAAAGCAAGTGAAAAAATAATGGTCTGACACAGAACACAAACCTCAGTCTCCTGGGTCATCCCTCCAATCTTGTTATACTGCTCTTTTAAACTGGAAAAAAAAACAACCCCTATGTGTCTTTTGGTGTCAAATATCGATGTCGGTAGCACGAACACAAAAGGATGATTTTCTCAGATGCCAGCAGCTTTGACAAAACAACAGTATCTGACACCCTGGGAATGAGAAAGAGTTGCATTGAAAGTTCCTTATAGAGTTTGTACTTTTAGTGGACCTTTAGATCAGATTTTTTTTTTTTAAGTTAAATATTGCTTGTGTTGAAAGAGAAGTTATTGATTACTCTCCACTTTTTCTACACACCACAGTGAATGTTCAACTCAGTGTTTAAGACACCAAACATCTGAATCTTTTCACGTTGCATCAAATTACAGTAGATATTCAGTGTATCATTCCTTTCATTACAATCGTAGGATTTTGAGATGTAAACTGCTTAGAAGTATTGAACAGCTTTCTAAACTTTGAGGAATCATTGGTTAAACCTTTTCTTTCTTCTTTTTAGTCATTTTCTCTGCAGAGGTTTTGTAAGTCCTGCCAGTCAGTGGAGATGTAGAGTTGTAGTCAGTGTTCGTCGATTTTTGCTGAATTATTGTTGGGTTATGGTCCAAACCTTAAGAGAACTAGAAGTTGGTAGTAGGCTGAGAGATGAAGCACTGCTACATGGGATGTTTAAATTTAAAAAAAGGATTTTCAGCAGTTTATTTGAGTCTGTAAGCTGTTTTCATTGGTAGGAAAACTGTTTTATTTTTTCAGATATTTTATCAAAGAGGCAGATTTCTGCTAATGTTGAGAAAACGCGTTAAACTTTTTCAGGAAATACAAAAGACTTTACAAGTGATCATCCATTTTCAGAATAAATAATTAATTTATTGTTAACTTGTAATCTGTATACTGTATCTGAAATGAGATAGTTTGTATTGTACCAATCTCCTGTGTTCTCAATAAAGAATCTATCTGAATGACAGTATTTTTCACATGGATATGTACCACCATCTAGTGGCAGTTACATGTAATTACATTTACTGTGCCCAATGGTTATTCTTCACAATACAGCAGAATGTCCAGTATAATGGCAACTCCTTAAAGTGCTTTGGAAATGTGCTACAAAGCCCTGTTATGTGCCTTTCCCTTCCGTTTTTCTTTATGTCACATTCTCAGGCCTTGAAAAGTCTCATCTTCGAGCGCTTATATTGCACTGACTCAGGGTCAGCAGTGGAAAGAAGATGGGCTTCAACCGGCAAGAATCGTCCTTCAGTCATGAGTATACTTGCAGGTGGGTGTGAATGCACTTCCTTTGGAAAAATAAGAAAATGTCTAGAGGAACAGAAGCTTACCGTCTTGTATGTATGTCTAGTATATATTTGTAGGTTTGTCAAAACAATGACTAATGTGAGTAAGTGGAAGTGAGGACATTCTGGCACAGGGGTCGGCAACCTTAAAGAACTCAAAGAGCCATTTGGACCCATTTCCCACAGAAAAGAAAACACCGGGAGCCACAACACCCTTTTGACATCTAAAATGAAGGTAACGCTGCATATATCATTTTTTACCTTTATGTTATTTATAAAAACAAAAGCAAAAACATAGTGTGTTGCATTTATGAAATCAATGAACTGCTACAGAGAAAACAAAGTTTTGTTTCTGCAGGCAACAAAAACCTCTGGAAAAAAAAGAAGATGCTGGGTTGAAGGTTACTTTCAAATAAAATACTCTAATGTCTATTTGAGTCCTCATATTTATGAAATAAAAAGCAGAACTTAAATTATCCACCTGCAGCAAAGTAAAAATGCCGTCTGGTTGGCCTGCTGACTGCAGAGCGATACGTCTTTTCACATCAGAGTCTCCAAACCACCAGAAAAGTCTCCAATAACACCAGAAAAAGTTGCAAGATTTTTCACTAGTCGCCTTTGAGCAAAAAAAAAAGAGTTGGAAAGTCGCCAAGTTAGCAACACCAGCGAGTGTTGCACATCGGCGGTTGTGACGCATAGTTTGAGTGACAAAAAATTAAACACGTCTCATTTTAATGTGACACGATCACCATAATCTTCAAATTTAGAATTACATTTTAAGTAAAATTAATTTGAATGAAATACTCATTATTTATTTTCCAAAGCCACAAGGAGCCGCAGCAGAGGTATGAAAAAACCACATGTGGCTCCAGAGCCGTGGGATGCCGACCCCTGTTCTAGCAGGTCCTCACTTAGAGACAGATCTTCATAAGTTGGCTGTTCGACCTGGATAATTCCAGCTTTCTTAAATCCAGGGCTTTTGTACATGTACTGTCTTAGTGGGTGGTTGTTTCTGCAATTTCCCTACCATGCATGTGTGTGGAGTACTGTTTCCAGGCCAACAAAAAAACTTTAGCTAAGAATCAAAAAGTGTATTTAAAGATCAATAAAGCCTCTGTCACTGGAAGAGGGGTTTTGAAGCCCAGTGCGACCATCTTTGGAGGGCCTGTGTCGTTCTAATCATCAACTAATGCACAAATTGGCACAGTACATTTGTCATTAAGGGGGAAGTTATCTACAAAGCCCAACACTGTTTTTGTACCAGGCTGTAAGCATGTTTATTTCTGCTGTAAACTTAGACATTTTAACATGGGGCTCTGTGGGGATCAACTCGTTTTTTTCAGCCATCCTCAAGTGGACATTTGAGGAACTGCACCTTTTGGCATTTCCTTGGTGGCAGCTGCTCCCTAATGAAATTACCTCCTCTCTGTCTGCAGCAGGTCTCTCGCCTCTTGAAACAGCATTTATTCCTCAGTAAAGAGTGCTTTTGGAGCAGCACTCATCCCAGTCACAACTGTCACTGCAAAGACGATAATCTGCAAGGTGAACCGACAGGGCTTTTTTTTTTTTGTCTAGCTGTAACTCTGCTGCATGACTCTACTTCCCAAACAAGCCTCTGTAACTCTCACTCATGTTCACTGCTGTCTACATGTAACAACTCATCCCCCACCAAACTTCACAGCAAGACTTCTCCTTGAGACTTCTCCCAGTTAGATGGGGTTTTTTTTACCCCCGCGTTGTTGTTCTAAAAGCATGCTGAAAAAGTTCACCAAAGTTCTACTCATGTTTTCAGCATAAAGTTTTTCTTTTTGTTTCCCAGAATGTCCTTGGATGGAGTTCTCTAAAGACATTTTTGTTAAAACATTTTCTGAATGTTGAAGGTGTAAAACAATACTCCATATAATGTGTTACCTCAGAGTCGCCAAAACATCCAATGTTCTGGCTTTGCTAACATATGACATTAAAGGAATGTTTCATGAAAAACATTCTGCCATCTGAGGCCTTGACAGCATCTTAAAGACATTTTTTGAATGCTGGTTTAAGAAGGTGCTTCTTTTGTTATCATCTGACATAACTGGACCACCCAAACAACATCCTACAAACATCCTCTGAATGTTGCAATGATTACAGCTTATCTAACTTTGAACTCTATAGGAACATTATTTGAAATATCCTTGAAACATTCCTAAAACATTAGACTAAATGTTTTTGTTGTTGTTGTTGTTGTTGTGTCCATTGCTGTAGGGAT